TTTTTGAATGCAATGCATCGACATATTTTCGTGGCATTGTACATTTGTAGTGTTCTTCCTTATTGTTCATGAGTGACAGCGTTAATCCAGGTCCATAAATATCATGGTGGGTACTCTCAATTGATGAAACTGTGTAAGGTTTGTGTACTTCTAAGTCACATATTCTTTTATACACAACGTAGTTATTATTGAAATCGTTGACCTTTTTATAAATCTATAAAGAACAATATATTCTAGTTAGAGAATGCACCGGCAGAACACATTGCCGTTGTATTTCAAAAGGTAATAATTGCGTATTTTGATAGTAACTTGAAGTAGACAGTGTTCGAAATTTTTCACTTTACCTTTGAAGACATGATTGTTGTTAATTCAAGATACAGTCACAAGGTCGATTTTTACTTATTGTATGTGTAACCACGACCTGCTAACTTTGATACAGCGCATACAGCAACGAAACGGTGTGCCGGAGTATATTCCTTTCCTTTGTCCTGTCCCTGTCCCTTCGCCGGGGGTGGGTCCGTTTTTTATGTCCATGATGAAGTGGACAGATACGACCATTTAGTATCTTGATATCGGTAGTCTGATTTTTCAGAAGGCAACAATGCCGGAAAAAAAACTCTTTTTTTAAACTTTATTTTTGTTTACTTTTAGTGTAACAATTTTAGTTTTTTTCTAAAAGTGCATATAAAATTGGGGGAAGGCTATGTTCTTTTGTTTACCTTTGCATTCCCTGTGATTGTCAGAAGCGGGAAAATTAGGTTTTCTTTGAATTCGGTCCGTGACATGATATTTTTTCTGACAGCTACGACCTGCAATGACGGTGTGCCTGGTTGACCTTTGAAAAGTCGGAGAAAACTCAGAAGTTTTTTAAATGATTTTTTTTGTCTTTCAATAATTTAAGTATTTTTGTTTTGGAATAGTACGAATTTATGTGAATATGTGCTAATGATTGTTCATTTGGGATATTTTAACCAGCGAAATGCAGGGCGGTTTAAGTTTTAGGCGTCGAGTGGTGCCTTAGAGCCTTAATCATGGAAACTCGATGTGTGGGCAAATACCGACCCAATTAGGGTAACCAATGTAAGTGAATCAGTGAAGCGCATTAATGGGTATGGGATTTTTTTATGTGTAGGGTGAAGTCGAATTAAATTAAACAGTTTCTTTCACTGACTCTTTTTTTTTTCTGTAAATTTTTTGAGTAGTTTTTTTTGGGGGGGGAAATAGTATGAATCTTTGTGGATATGTGCTAATGACTGTTCGTTTGGGATACTTTATCCAGCAAAGTGCAGGGCGGTTTAAGTTTTAGGCGTCGAGTGGTGCCTTGAGAGCCTTAATCATGGAAACTCGATGTGTGGGCAAATACCGACCCAATTAGGGTAACCAATGTAAGTGAATCACTGGAGCGCATTAATGGGTATGAGGTTTTTTTTATGTGTAGGGTGCAATGTTGGGTATTCAGTGTTTTTACTGGATTTGTAGAGATGAGTTTTTCAGTTATCTTGTGATGTTCGGTAGCTGGTTACCTAAAATATGTTCAACAAGGGCGGTATGACATTTAGGTGTTGATTGGTGCCCTGAGAGCCTTCAAGCGCAGGTAAACTTGATAAGTGGTAGAAACCATACCAGTTAGACATTTGGTGTAAGTGAATGACTGGAGTGCATTAGTGGGTTATTATGCTCCTTGAGCATTGAATACAGATTAGTTTAGGGCCTGATATAATTCTTTGTAGGAAATTGTAGAAACAATCATTGGTTATATTTGTATAGCTACACATGCCTTGACAGATTTGTTAAACATAGACACTAAGACAAAATTTTACAATAAATATTAGTGAAATACTTAGCAGTAATAATTATAATACAATAATAGAACAATTATAATAGAAGTTGACTTAAAAGGCTTTGGTAATGTTGAATCTTTCTAGCTCTGAGATCCATTCATTTCTTTTTCTTATGGAATGTTTGGTGTTCAGGAGCTCTATTCTTTTTGCAGGGAATCCTTTTAGGATGATGCCAGACAACGACTTAACTCTTGATAGAGCAACATACGTTATACCTGGTGACATTTCTTTTAATCCTATGTCAATGTAGGCCTGTAAAAATATGATGAAATAAATTATTACAATAGTGTGCAACTATTTATTCAATTTAAAAGGAAATTTATTTGTTATTCACCTTTTCTAAAGTTAAACCTTGGGACTGGTGGATAGAACAGGCAAAAGATAATGTTATTGGAAACTGTGTTCTGCTACAAGTTTCACCATTTTTGCTTGTCCAAGATTTTGTCATAGGTATAATTGGGACTGTTTTAAGGTCATCATCCAGGTATGGTCCATTATAAGACTGAAACTTGCATACTAAGACATCAGGTGGGTCTGTCTGTGGATCAGCATCTTCCCTGTACAATATATCGACTATATGACCCATTGCACCATTCACTAGGCCCTTTTCTGTCCATAAATTGCTTTTTAACATAATACTGGCCTCTTCTGCTAAGTGAAGAACAGGAAATAGACCTTCTGCGTCATCTCTTGTCCCACGGGAAGCTGCATTGCAAATATGAATTGCTGGTATTCTTGCTATAGGTTTTGGCTGTCCATTACTAGTTTTCATACCCATAAGTTTGTCTTTGTTGTGTTTTAAAACTTCTAGCCTAGTTGGGAACAGGTGAATGGCATCTTTGAAGAAGTCCTTTTCATGCTTAGGGACATTTGTTGAAAATCGTGTTTTCAAGATATTGTCACTTTGGTCACATTGCCAATGCTGATGTTGTGTAGCACATCTTGAAAGATGGAATCATTTTGTCTAACTACCTGATTTAGTACAACTGCTCCTTCAAAATTGTCGTAAATTAATTTGCCTCTTAGGCGTTCAGGTGATGAAACATTGTCTGAATAGACTGGTGAATCTCCAATTGGAGGAAGTTGTCTGGCATCACCCAAGATGTATACAAAGAGATTTCCAAAGTCAGCAGAATCATCACCTTTACCTTGACTTATTCTCTCTTCTACCATATCCATTAATTGGCATCCAATCATGCTGAACTCGTCAATAATTAGGAAATGAGCCTTGCTTAGTTTTTCTTCCATTGCGTGAGCTGCTGGACCTTTGAGTGGTAAATACTCTTTCTGCTTCAGGTTTATGTGAAGAGCTGAATGGATTGTGCTTCCGCCAACACCTTTTGCACTGACGCCAGTTGGTGTCACTAAAAGAAACCCTTCATGACCGAAAGCTTGCACAATCTTGTGTTTCATAGCTTGGATCACTAAGCTTTTGCCAGTACCTAGAAATTTGTTTTAAAAATGATTAGGCAACAGTTGGAAAATCACAATTGTGTTTTTTAATGTTTAAAATATGAATATATAATTACCTGCTTTACCCTGAATAATTATTCTCTTTGGTAAAAGGAAGTCTGCTGTGACTTGTGGATCCTGTAAAGACTAAATTTGCATGTCAAGTAATTTCAGGATGCTTGATTGTTCACTAGTGAAATTAACATCAGGGTAGGGGACTTCACATGGTGGTGTTTTGTCTGTTTCCTTTGCGTTCTTTATGAAACTACGCAATGCTGGTAAACCACCATATTTATCATATAAGTGCAAAGAGTCATGCCAGTTGTGGTTCAAATCAATTTCTCTTCTCCCTAACTCATCTTCTGTTACATTCTGATTAGGCCCCATTTTGGACAAACACATCCATTCTTCGGAAGAACAAAAATCATCTTCATAAGCAGCTTCTTCAATGAATTCAGAATCTTCAGGAGTCATATGAGACAAATCAAATTGTTGCTGTTTGTTTGTAGATATTGTTTCCTTGTGCTGGTCAAAAATGTCTTTCCAGGAATAATTGCCATCTTCATTAAACTGTTCTTCATTCCTCCAAGGCACGTGGAGAAGGACCTGTTGCCTATAATAGTCTTCATTCTTTTCATTATCAGTTGCATGTAACTTCAAAATTGGATACACTTGAACAATAGCTTCTTTTTTGTACTTTTTGCCTGTAGATAAGTTATAATTCTTCATCATGAACCATAGACATCTATCTTCATGAGCTTCTTCCCTTTCACAATACCTTTGAATGGAATGTGTAGTTTTTCTTTGCTGAAATTGAGAAACTTGAACATATTTTCTGTAAGCGTTAAAGTTTAGTGTTATAAAAGCCCTATTGTCTGTTTGAACCAACTTAAGACCCATGAGAAGATGACATGTCTCCTGGGCTGAAAAATCTCTTTCAGCACAGGACTGAATGTAAAGTCTTTGAAGGACTGATTTCACTTGCTCATCTTCTTCAGTACTATGAAGAAGTCCTATCAACACATCAGCCATGGATTTTGATTCTCTCTCCGGTTTTGAAATATACTTTGCCAAGTAATTTATCAATGCTTGTTTGGACAAAACGGCTGAGACATCAATATTTGCCTTCCATGTTTGTATAATATATGGATTGTAGTTGTTTAGGCGTGGATCATTTCTTGCAGTGATTAACTCAACCTTTCTTGTTTCTGGGCAAACCACAATTGTGGTATTTGCCTGCAATTGTTTAGGAAAGTCAAAGCGACAGCTTTTTCTCTTGGTTTTCTTGTTAATTCTAAGACAATATCCATCGTTGCATTTTGTATGCTGTTGCACTTTATTCAAGAGCTGTGCTAAATCTTGTTTCTCATTTTGGACATCAGATGGTTTCAGGCGACATGGATGAATAGGAGCTGGTGGTTCATTTATGTTAGGATGGAAGGTACTGATCAATTTATGAAAGTATTCAGCGACTTGTTTTCTTTCTTCTTCATTGGCTGAGCTCAGCTTTGTGATGTCTGGAGCATCTTGGGTCCATAAAAGGCCGTTAACGTGTGGTGAGCCCCTTTAAATTTTAAGACAAACAAAACAATATTCAACCTTGATGTCAATAAGTAACTTTAACATACAAAGGAAGCGTAAGAAAATACAAACCTATGCTGATATTCTACTCGAAACCAGTAATCATTGATGTTGAACTTTGGTTTAAGAACCTGTTAGAATGTAAAGTAATATAAAATCATCTATTATACAATTAAAGAAAATATTTTTGTTAAGTGAGAAATTTGCATCTATTTACCAAATCAATGAATGATTTCGATCTTTCATAAAAGAAGTAGTTAACAGTCATTGGATTTTCCGCTATTAATTGTCTTCTACGAGCTTCATTTATCGTCTGAGGGTCTTCATCCGGTGAAAGGAGCTTGTACAGATCAGGCCAGTGGAAATCAGCTGCAGAGAGCGTGAAGAATAGAGTAGGCAAACTTAATTGTTCAACCATTGCTATCAGTTCTTTGCCCCGTGCATACCAATAAAATTTTGTCCCTCGAATGTTTGAGGATTGGAACATAATTTTTTTGATAACATTTGTTTTTTTTTTTTGTATTTCTTCCTTTAGCTCTGCTATAGTCATGTCTTTAAATTCAGAATTGATGTCAACAAACATGTTGCCTTCTTTAAGGGCAGTCCAACGCATGTATGAATTCAATGCAAAATATCTGAAGCGAGGATGCCGAGCAAATCTCTGATCATGATATCTGAGTAAATGTTTAAAATAATTTGGAGGCTGTACCTTTGATTCTCTCGGCGTCCTCAAGTCAGCTTTTCCATAGGGAAAAAGACAAGGGAAAGCTTTAACAATATAGCCTTCAGAAGAAAATTCATTAATTGCTTCTTTTTCAATGATGGGCCATTCTTCTTTCTTTGCATTTTCAGACGGCATTCCTATCATGGGTACAGTAGATTCTACAACTTTTAAAGCGCTATCAGTTTCTTCATCATCAATGTCATCTGCTTCCTCATCTGTACTGCTTTCATCTGAACAATCACTGTTAATGTTGTTGTCCATGTCATTTTCCATTGCTGCTCCATCATTTTCTTCATCATTAATTTCAATAGTTTGCACTTGATCATAGACATTACCATCTTGGGGTAAGTCACTTAAATTGTCATCAGAAATGTCAATATCATAGTAATACTCATTATTAGCTTTTAACCAAAGTAATGCGGATCTCACTTTATCTGCACGTACATTGAAGTCAACTGGTTTTAGATCATTTCTTGTTCTGACTGTGATAGTAGAGGGTAAATCCTGAATTTTGTGAGGAAATTGCTTAGCAAACTGTGTTATATTTTGAGGAAAATTTATTATATTACCTCTATATCCTAGCTGGTGGCCTTTTAATTTGAATACTGTTACCAATGGGTGCAATGAGCGCAATGAGTTGCTCTTCTATATATGATAAATTGGATAATTCTTCAGGGACAGGACCAGGATCCATGTTATTATCATCTGTACAATTCAGACAGTTTGCTCTTCCATGAATGCACTTTGTTGAAGACTTTTTGGAAACATAAAAACGTTCTTTGCAGTTCTTGCATTCACGCCATTCTAATCCATTCATGTGGTCTTCAAATTGTTTTTGAAAATTGTCTACTTTAAAGGGAACATCATGGTTGTTGTCTTGATTATTTTCTTGAACATCCACTTGATCTACAATTTGAAAAACAATAAAGTAAAAAATAACACATAAATACGCAAGTAACATAACAAAAAAATAAAATTAAAAATACCATCAAAAATTTGTTCTGCAAATGAAAATGCTAAAGTTAGTTGGTGATCTGGCAGTGGATCACAATCAAAAAGTGTTGGGATAGCATCAGGTTTTAAAGTAGATTTGAGTTTGTTTATAAATTGATTGTCGTCAAAATGCTTGATACAGAGAAATCTCTTTTTGTAGAGAAACCTAACAATTGATAACAAATCAGGATTACCTGAATTTTGGACCCACTTTTTGCATCTGTATCAAAAAAGTGGATTTTATTAAAAACATGTTTTTACTTTGTAGTTACTGTGTTTTGTATGTGTTTGGTATTTTATAAATAAAAATACTTTTCCAAATTCTCTTCATGCAAGTTCCCATTAACTATGCAAGCTGGAAATGTCCTAAAGCTATCTGCTGGATCAGTACATCCCACAGCAGAACACTTCTTCCATTGCCTTGATTTTTTAGGTACTGCTCTCTTTTTCTAGGATGTTATAAAAAAATGACAAGTATTTTAGCTTAAGAGTTTACCACAAAATTCTTTTACCTTACTTCTTCATTTAATCAATTTTATCAATACCTGAGAATCAACTGCATTATTTCCGTTGTTTAAACTTGTTTCAACACCAGTATCCTGCAACAAAAAGCAAGTGTCACAGTAAGAAGCATAGATGATGTTGTAACTATCCAGAATAATATCGATACCTGTGGAGGTTCAAAAATTTCAAGATCAGTAACATTGTCTGTGTTATTGTTGTTGTCGTGTTCCTGACTATCACAATCCTGGGAAATGATAACCACAATTTTAACATAATTGTTTTTAAAATGTAATATTTTTTTTTAAGCTGTAAGTTTAATATAGAAGTACCATGAAATGGACACTAAGTGCCGAAGTAGACAGCCAATTGACAGTATGGTCTTCAATAATAATGCATTCTTCATTTCCAAGATGCAGAAAATCAAGTGAATCACTCAAAAACAATGCATCACAATTTTCGTCAGTTTGTCTTT